AATTTTTGTATGGCGCTGGGTGGCTTCGCTGTTGCTCAGAGTTACTTGCGCAGGCATTGAAATAGAAGCTCCCGCCCGACCTTGGGCCAAAGTTTCTTCCTTCTTCTTTTTCTCCTCACCCACGAATGTTGTCGATATAAGCAACCCTCTCCTTCGTGCGGTGCTGCGACACTTCTTCCTCCCTCCATCCTCATCACCTCTCCACTCTACCTCTACAACACCACACTTTTACTCCTGTGCTATTACCTAGAGGTAGCTCATATAGAGCAACGCGGCATTTCCTCCCTACACCTACAGCCACCTTTTATTATTCTATATCAGTTGGCTCGCCTATTCCGCTGAGCTCTATTTCTCCCTAGCCACCCATGGCTGACTCCAAGGATGTCGGCGCTCCTGCGCTCGACACGACCATCGAGCATGGCGGCTTCGACGAGAAGAAGGCCCAGGGCGCCGTCGCCCAGCCTACCAAGGAGGTTCCTGTCGAGGATGAAGAGGAGGACGAGGATATTGATGCCTTGATCGAGGACCTCGAGTCCGAAGATGGACACGCCGACTTCGAAGAAGAGGAGGAGGGCGCTGTTGGCGCTGCCCGCCGCATTCCCGAGGACATGCTCCAGACTGACTCCCGTGTTGGTCTGACCGAGTCTGAGGTTATCGCCCGCCGCAAGAAGTTCGGTTCCAACCAGATGAAGGAGGAGAAGGAGAACCTGGTTCTCAAGTTCCTTGGCTTCTTCATTGGTCCCATTCAGTTCGTCATGGAGGTAAGTTTCTGATCCTTGATTTCTGCATTTTACTACACTACACTTTGGTGGTGCATTCATCCTTTGCGTTTACCTGCATCTCCCCTTGCTCGCGGCATGTGCCTGTGCAGGCGACCAGCAACGGTCAATTGAGTTCGGCCAAATTTCCTTGGCTACGCGATACCGCAAACTTCAATTGGCCCATGCTGGCGCAGCCGGGCGTCGCTCTCGCATCACACTTTCGTTTGTTTGGGATGGAGCTAGTGGTCAATGCGCATTTTCGGCGCAAGATTACATTCTCCACACCAGCTTTCTCCCTGGTTGGGTGGGGCTGCAAGAGATTTCATCCCACTGGCCAAAGTGCCTTCGAAGTGGAGCGTGTCTCGATGCATCCATCACGATGACAGTCCCCCCACTGTTTTTGCCCATACCCTGCCTGCCGATCCGATAGTGGTCAACCGATCGTAATTTGTCGCCTGTCTTGGTCGCCCGTGTTCGTTTGCGTGCATTTCAATTGGCTAACTTGTCGTGTCTCATCTAGGCCGCTGCTGTTCTCGCTGCCGGTCTCGAAGATTGGGTTGATTTCGGTGTTATTTGCGGTCTCTTGCTGCTTAACGCCTGTGTTGGTTTCTTCCAGGAATACCAGGCCGGTTCTATCGTCGACGAACTCAAGAAGACTCTCGCTCTTAAGGCCACTGTCCTCCGTGATGGTGCCCTGAAGGAGATTGAGGCCCACGAGGTCGTTCCCGGTGATATCCTCCAGGTTGATGATGGTTCCATTATCCCCGCTGACGGTCGCATCGTCACCGAGGGTGCCTTCCTCCAGGTCGATCAGTCCGCTCTTACTGGTGAATCTCTCGCTGTCGACAAGCACCACGGTGATGAGTGTTTCTCTTCCTCCGCCGTCAAGCGTGGTGAGGCCTTCATCGTCGTTACTGCCACTGGTGACAACACCTTCGTTGGTCGTGCCGCTGCTCTCGTCTCCGCTTCCTCTGGTGGCACTGGTCACTTCACTGAGGTTCTCAACGGCATTGGTACCATTCTCCTGATCCTCGTCGTCGCCACCCTCCTGATCGTCTGGGTTTCTTCATTCTACCGTTCCAATAAGATTGTCCGCATTCTGGAGTTCACCCTCGGTATTACCATTGTCGGTGTCCCCGTTGGTCTTCCCGCCGTCGTCACCACCACCATGGCTGTCGGTGCTGCCTACCTCGCCAAGAAGCAGGCTATCGTCCAGAAGCTCTCCGCCATTGAGTCCCTTGCTGGTGTTGAGATTCTCTGCTCCGACAAGACCGGTACCCTGACCAAGAACAAGCTGTCTCTCTCTGAGCCCTTCACTGTCCCCGGTGTTGAGCCCGATGACCTGATGCTCACTGCCTGCTTGGCCGCTTCTCGCAAGAAGAAGGGTATCGACGCCATCGACAAGGCTTTCCTCAAGGCTCTCAAGTTCTACCCCCGCGCCAAGTCCGTTCTGTCCAAGTACAAGGTTCTCCAGTTCCACCCATTCGACCCCGTCTCCAAGAAGGTCCAGGCTGTTGTTGAGTCTCCCCAGGGTGAGCGTATCATCTGCGTCAAGGGTGCCCCTCTCTTCGTTCTCAAGACTGTCGAGGAGGACCACCCCATCCCCGAGCACATTGACCAGGCCTACAAGAACTGCGTTGCTGAATTTGCCACCCGTGGTTTCCGTTCTCTCGGTGTTGCCCGCAAGCGTGGTGAGGGTGCTTGGGAGATTCTCGGTATCATGCCCTGCTCTGACCCCCCTCGTCACGACACTGCCCGCACTATCAACGAAGCCAAGCGTCTCGGTCTCTCCATCAAGATGTTGACTGGTGACGCCGTCGGTATTGCCCGTGAGACTTCCCGCCAGCTCGGTCTTGGTACCAACGTCTACAACGCTGAGCGTCTTGGTCTTGGTGGTGGTGGTGACATGCCCGGTTCCGAGGTTTACGATTTCGTTGAGGCTGCCGATGGTTTCGCTGAAGTTTTCCCCCAGCACAAGTACGCCGTCGTTGAGATTCTCCAGCAGCGTGGTTACCTCGTTGCCATGACTGGTGACGGTGTCAACGATGCTCCCTCCCTGAAGAAGGCTGATACCGGTATCGCTGTCGAAGGTTCCTCTGATGCTGCCCGTTCCGCTGCCGATATTGTCTTCCTTGCCCCCGGTCTCGGTGCTATCATTGATGCCCTCAAGACTTCCCGCCAGATTTTCCACCGCATGTACGCCTACGTTGTCTACCGTATCGCTCTGTCCCTCCACATGGAAATCTTCCTCGGTCTCTGGATTGCCATCCTCAACGAGAGCTTGAACCTGAATCTCATCGTCTTCATTGCCATCTTCGCCGATATTGCCACCCTGGCCATTGCCTACGATAACGCTCCTTACTCCCAGACCCCCGTCAAGTGGAACCTTCCTAAGCTCTGGGGTATGTCTGTTCTCCTCGGTTTCGTCCTTGCCATTGGTACCTGGATTGCCCTCACCACCATGTTCGCTGCCGGTAACAACTACGGTGGTATCACTGAGAACTACGGTGATATCGATGAGATTGTCTTCCTCGAGGTCTCCCTTACTGAGAACTGGCTGATCTTTATCACCCGTGCCAACGGTCCCTTCTGGTCCTCCATTCCTTCGTGGCAGTTGGCTGGTGCCATCTTTGTCGTCGACATCCTCGCTTCCCTCTTCGCCATCTTCGGTTGGTTCCGTGGCTCTGACCACCGCACCCACATCACTGGTGTTGTCCGTATCTGGATCTACTCCTTCGGTATCTTCGCCGTCATGGGTGGTCTCTACTACTTCATGCAGGGAAGCGCTGGTTTCGACAACCTGATGCACGGCAAGTCGCCCAAGCGTTCCCAGAAGCAGCGATCCCTTGAGGACTTCGGTAAGTTTTATATCCCTTCAATCTCTTGGTCTTATATTCATATGCTAACATCTTTTTTCAGTTGTCTCCCTCCAGCGTGTCTCGACTCAGCACGAGAAGTCGACCTAAGCAATGCTCTACATACCCCTCGTGACTTTCCGGATTGTTTCTGTTTCTCTTTGTCCCTAGTATTATTATTTGGACTCGCACCGATGTATAGAAGCGTCAGGACGGTTTGAGGTGGACGCGCTTTGCATCCCTAGAACGTCAATTAGACACTTAATGCCAAATTTAAAAAAATTAATAAATCATTCTCTTGAGTAGAAGATTTCATCACCCATCCTGTCCCTACAATGCTTTTCTGTGACCTTGCCACATGTCCTTTTTACCCTGTGATATCAAATTTGGCCGTGAATATGAGAGGCTTTAGTCACTACGAGGCGCCTATCATTTGTTGGTGTATGATGAGCTTCCCCCATTGACCCTCTTCCCATTCCGTGGGGCTGTAGTATTCAGCTCAGCAGCTTTGGCTATGAAGCACGATCTATGTAGAACCATCTCAAGTGGTGTGTCCTGTTTAGTGAAGTCTTCGAGCCGTGTGTGGTTCACTCATTTGCCTAAAGTTATCTAAGCTATTTCTGCTCTCCAGGGATGTGGGCATAACTCGTGCACTGCAACATTCACTCCCGCAACAGTCTTCTGTCACCGGTTTCTCATGTCAGGATTGCTAAACTCCAAGTCATTGTACGACCAAGGGTTCGACAAGTAGGTACGACATTTGAGAACCACTGTGACTCGAAGTAAGGCTTTAAGGGGACGCAACTACATTACCCGATAATCTTGACGGATCTGGTCGGCGATTATTTTGGTGGGTTGGTGAAAGTCGTCTGTGGTTCTTCTAACCACCAACACTCTTGGTTGCTGCCTTTTATGCGGTAACTTGGGGATAGTCTTGATTGATTTATCATTGAAATTGGCATGGCTGATTTCACTATGGAAGAAGTAAGGATAGGTAGCATGCTGGGTTTCCTATTTCTGTGTCAGACTTTGAAAGATCGGACCAACTTGGAAGGGGATTTTTCTGGTAGGGATCCAACAGTCGTCCAGGCCAACTCGGTGTAGCGCTGGTCATCCAACCTCCAGCATCGCCGTGTAATCATCTAATATAATTATGACCAAGGTTCATCAAGCTGCGCCTCTCAAGAAACAAGTTTGGTGACTTTTGGGGAATACTGACCTATCACGTGATGACATCATTCTGCCTCTTGCCTCCTCTCAACTTCACTCAGCGAAATCGGATCCACTTTTGACCAGCCTGAAAAGCAGATGCCTTGTGCATCTGATATTTGCCCAACGCCCAACGCAATGTAATGCCGTTTTGTCAAAATAATCCAGCATAAAGATGTTGCAAATCCCAGGCTATTATTACGGTAAGTATCTGTCCGACCGTGCATGCTAAAAACTGGAGTGACTGACCTTTCTCCTTCCCCAAAGATGAGGAAAGGAAGAAGTACTTCAAGGTTGAAAAGTCATCCACGGCGCCTTCTGCTTCCACTTGGTCCTCGGATGCCGTGAAGAGGCGCAAGGTTGAGCATCAGGCCAGCGAGGTGGTACGGGAGCGTGACTGGGAGGTCAGGCATCATATCAAGCGCCACAGGCTCTGGGACCACGCTGTCGCATCGGGGACTCTCAAGCGAGAGATACGTGATGATCTGAGCTGGGAGGGGGAAGGCAACCTGAAGGCCGCGGCTTGGGTTGATGGCCTGGAAGCAAAGGGGGAGGTGCGGTTCCGACCACAACACAGAAGCAGCGGACATCTGCCTTGCCTGTGGGTTGGTGGCCAGGAACAAGGACTGGAGACCGCCGTGGCTTATACGAGTAGGTGGTCCCTTTTAAATAATGGGATGCTTTCGGTCCCTATTTTCAGAATGTCGAAGTTGTGCTGACCAACTTGGGTCGCCCTGCATACAGCGGTGGACGAAGGAATCCCGATTGGGAGCTACTTGCCAGTAGATGACGACGGGAAACTCTCGTTTCGAGAAGACGTCCCTCTGGACTCGCCGAGGCGACCGGTCAGATACAGAGAGTCGACTGATTGCCGCGAAATGAGCTCCATCACGTACCATGAGGCTTCTCACCGGATGATCTTAACCTCCAGAGCGCCAGGTAATCGCGCCGGCTTGGCTCTCTTCTCGCCGCCTCGAAGTCGTGGAACAGAAGGGACTTGGGCTTTAGGAGAAGGTATACACCTCTTGCTTCACCCCATCTTGTCGTCCACACCATACTGACCAACCTTGGCCAGCCACAAACCACCAGCGCCGCTCCTTCTCTTACCTCTGGAACGAAGAGCGCGTCGGCCTCAACGCCTGCACACCCGCACCCCCCTCCCTCCCCCATCTCGTCTGCGCCATCGGCACCGACTCGGGCCTCGTCAGTCTGTCATCAGACGGGTCCGTCTCCCTCCTCACATCCCACAACCCCTACAATTTCAGCGAGCACCATAGCCACACCCCCTACCACCAGTACACAAGAGACCCCCGCTCCGTCTTCGACCTCGACTTCCACCCCACCAACCCGAACATCCTCTTCTCGGGAGGTCGCCAGCCCCGCGCCTGGATCAAGGACACGCGCACCCCGACCTCGGAGCCGTGCCGCCACCACATCGCCCTCCCTTCCTCCGTCGCCCACCTGCGCGCCATCTCGGAGAACCAGCTCCTCGTCTGCGGTCTCCACAGCGCAATGGCCATCTACGACGTCCGCTTCTTCCCCACGTCGTCGTCGCAGGGTGATGACGGCGCCCCGAGGAGGAGACGGCGCCCAGGCCCCTTGCTCACGTTCCCCGGGTACGTCAACGGCGCGCACCTGGACGTCGGGTTCGACGTCTCGCGGGAGCTGGGCATCGCCGCGGCGGCGCAGGACGACGGGACGGTGGGGTTGTTCTCCCTCGCCACGGGAAGGCGGCTGCCCTGCCCGGCCATGGAGGCCCGTGGGAAGATGAGCATGCCGATCAAGTCGCTCATGTTCCAGACGGTGCCGGGGGAGAACTCGCAGAGCCTGTTTGTGGGTGAGGGGTTGTGGCTGAGGAAGTACTCGTTCGGCACGCGGGAGTTTGATGTTTGATAATCATTTGGCAATTACATCATATAAAAAGGGGGTATAATTGGCGTAATAGCAAGGACAAATGGTGAGGGATTCACCCGGAGTTACGTTTTGGAAGGAAGGTCTATAAAATACAGAGACAGTTTCACCTAGGGAGCCACGGCATTAACACAAGTAGACTCAAGAAAAGTAAACACCATATTTTTTAATTCAGAAAATGACGAAGAAGAATTGACAAGGTTCCCAACAACTCCATGATTGCTCGCCCTTCTTCTCATGCCATGCATGGCCAGTTTTAACCCAAACCAGGAACGGTAAAGACCATCCGTACCACCCAGAAAACAAATGTAAGAATCCTTTTTGGTTTTTAAAATGCCGTGTCCGCTCGTTAGAATGAGGACTACAAGGAAACATAATACAGTCAACACGTTGGTCAACCAAGTAACTACTAAACAAAAAACGACATCCTATCGTGGCCTTGATGGAGGAGGACCGACGTTGCAGCCCTCGGCCAGGAAGGGGAAAGCCTTGACGAAACGCTCGCCGAGACTCCAGTTCTTCAGATTTCGTAGATGGCGCTCAAAGACGGGGTTGATCACAACCTCGTCTCCGTCTGGGCCCTGGAGAAGAGCGTCCGTGTCCTCATACGGCCAGCTGAGATTCAACGTAGTGGTAAAGGGTATAAAGAAATTATCAAAAACGATCTCATGCGTTTCTTGGGTTTGTACGATTTTCTCGCGCATCACCGGGAATGGTATGTGATCAACCCAGGCAGGATGATCAATGGTCAGTTGACCATGCGTAGGGCGGAACCACTCGGGGAGACGCTCCCAGTTTGCCTGGGTGGGAGAAATCTGCCATCGCATGAGGAGGAACATGACGTAAAGAACAGCAATGCGCTCCGGCAAGGTAGAGATATCCGGAAATGTTGATAGTATATCCGTAAATACTTTCGACAAAGGATGGCTGAAGGCACTATTGGCCGGGTTGAGGAGCGAAGAGACGGAAGGGTAGCGAGGACCAACCACTTCCTGCACTGGCAAGCCTTCGGCAGCACGCTGGCGGCGTTCATTGAGGAAGTCCAGCAACAAGTAGTCGAGTGGGCAAGTTGGTGCACAGTTTTTGATGGGTAAGGTCCACTGAGGAGACCCGGGAGCTGGGTTCGGAGAATAGTGAGGAGAAGGAGCATCTCTAGCCATCTGGCTGGGTCGGCTGGTAGGGCCGGTTGTCGAGGGAGTTCTGGGAGATGCTTCCCACCGCCCACCTCCGCTTCCGGGCCGAACTCGCAACGCCTGGTCGTTGCGGTTGTCCGTCCAGTCATGCCGCATGGGCACATGGTGGTATCGCGGAGTGTCTTGAGCACTGTCTGCGCCATTGTGGATTCTGGCTACGCGCTGGTTGTTCTCAAGAAGAAAGTTGAGTCCGAGACGTTCGGGGCCCATGTCCAGCCCGTGTCGCATTTCATGTCGCTGCTGGTTCAGCTGGATCCTGGCCTGCTCGCCTTGGTTGCCGGCACTCTGCCAGCTCTGCGAGCCAATGTCCGTGCTGCTGGGAGACGGGACACTTCCAGGTGTTGAGGCATTGTGGACACTCATTGGTGCCGGAGGTGGAGCGACATTTGGCACAGACGGAGCATATGTCTGAGATGGGGACGCGTATAAGCGACTGGGATCTGATACTGTGATAGTCGGTTAACATGAGGCTCTTGTTAATGTTGTGGATGGGTGAGCATACTGTTTCCTAACAACGGCTGAAGTTCGCCGATAATAGTGGCTAGCCGCCGTTTGATCTCAATATTTTCCTGCTCAACGGCCTCCTTGGCCCGTTGAACGGCAAGAAGCTCTTGGTAGGGTTGCTGACTAGTCAGCTCCTGGATGCGCCTCTCGAGCGTCTCAATCTGTTCCTTAGTCCGCTTGCGGATGGCTCGCTGGGCCTCACGATCTGCGAAACAGCATTAGCACACTATGAGCCGAACACATTTGCGAAGAGCTGATAGGTCGAGATTTTCCGAAAACAAGGGACAGAACGGGGACAGGGAGTCTGCTGACAAGGCAAGAACAGCACTTCGGACTATCCGTGTTTCGAAAACATGTGACAGCAAATATAGGCAAAGTAAGCCATACATACCATTCTCTCTCTTCTTAGCCAGCTGCTCTGGCGTCAAGTTAGCTACGCCCCTGCTGCCGGGCCCGGTCTTCTTCTTCTTCCTCGCGGCCTCCTGGGCGGCAGAATCGCCGGCGTCGGGCTCCGGCGACGCCTCCCTCTTCTTATTGTCGCCGGCAATGGACCCCCCGCCAGGGCTCTGGACGACCAGCTCCTCGGTCGCGGATGCCATCGCCAACACCGTGGGCGCCTGACCTCAATTAACCGCCTTCCAGACGGGTGGTGGCGCGTTGTGCTCCGCTCAACAAGGAGAGAGAGGTTTGATACAAGACAATTGGTGGGAGGAGGCGGCTCGCACTGTCCCACCTGGGAGGAGCCGTTCGGCAACAAGCTGGGGATTGTGGAACAATTGTACCGATAGCCACGGCACACGCCACGCAGGGACCCTGTGACCGGTACCACCTGCAAGGTACCGAATGAAACCGGACCACTCGAATGGAGAAGAAGGGGCGCGTAGCAAAGAGCCGCTTTGACGTCGGACAGGACCCAGCCCTGGTGTGGTGTGTGTTCGCGCGATAGGGCGCTCTCCTAATGGGAGACCAAAGCGGGCCACACCCCCCTTACAGAACCGGGCTGTTGCCTTAACGAATAGAAAGGAAAAATGAAAAGAAAAAAATGACAATTATAGAAAGAGAGAGGAGAGCACGAATGGCCAAGAAATGACTTGTCCCCCTCTCTTCTGCTGCCCTCGGTTTTGGGGTTCACCTTGGTTGGGGGAGTGAGTGGGGGGAAGGGCCCAGCAAGACCCTCTTGAAAATCTGGGGGTGGGAGCAAGAGGAGCTGGAACAAGCACAATGGGATCGATCAGAGCACAAAGATCCGCCACCAATCTCGCCCCAGCAAATCCGTACGATGGACGGGACGGGATTCACGTAGGGTGGAGTGGGAACTGGGGAACAGGCCGGGACTCGATCTCTGGGTGAGCTGCACTCGGCCACAAAGGAGGGACTCGAGGGGCAAGGGGGAGGTGAAAAATGAGGAGGAAACGCGCTCTGGCCTATGAGATGGGAAGCGTTGAATCATATGAGCCGGTCTAACCTGCAGCGATTCGAGTCATGAAGAGACTTTCGCCTGGCCCGTGCGCGCCATAAAGAAGCCAGGCAGGAGCGACGAAAAGAGTTCGGACGAGTTACCCGCGGGTACATCCGTCCCTCCTTCTGGCCTATGATCCCAACTCTGAGCCCAGGTACAGCCGCGTACCTCGCACAAGAGGTAAATTGGAAGGTTCAAGAGCCTCCATCTGATGGAAACCTAACCCACTGGACCATCTCTTGGAATGCGCCTAGCAGCCCTGCCCAGAGTCTCACAGCCAAAAGATACGGAAAGTGCCGACTGCTCAAGGCTTGGCAGCTTATCAGCTTGCACATCAGAGAAACAATTCGGCTCTAAGCGAGTCCCTTGTGATTTATCCATTCGAAATCTAATTACTAACCCTTCTCACACGATATCACAATTTCCCATCTTCCCAACAATTAGTCATCCTAGTCCCGTCTATTCCCCATTCTTCTATTCCGCAGAAGCCCTGGCCAGAGCCTCATGCAGATGCGGCGGGAAGCGGTAACGCAGCTGGCTCGTGTACGTGGTGAGGTCGAGCGTGATCTGCTTCAGCTGCTCGACCATCATCCTTCTGGTCCCCTCGTTCCCGCTGAACTGTCCGTTGCTCAGCTGTTCCCTCTGTCGCACACAGCAGACGACTGTCCACATGAGTAGGTTAGGCACATTGATAGACACGGGCTGTGGGAGACCGGAGAATTTGGAGGCGTAGGCACGGATGGTGCTGGCGTCGCCGTTGGCCTCCAGCGGTAGGATCTGGAGCGCTCGGATTTTCTGTCATGGGAATAATTAGCAATGGTAACAGGTCATTTCAGGTAAGGTGAGTACGTACGTCTAGAGCGGGTGCCCACTGGCTAGCCTCGACCAGGCTCTTGATGTTGCTCATCTCGAGCAGGACACCGCAAGCCACCTTGCTCTGATCCTGGATCTTCGGGTAGAACATGGCATTCTTTTCGTAGATGGACATCATTGTCTTGGCAAGCTCGACAGGGTCGTCAATGGCTGCCAAACTAAGGCTGCTGCCCTGTAGATTCTCTGCCGAAGGACCCGCCCTGGGCTTGACCGGCATCAGTCGCATAGGATCCTCGCCAATGTCCAGTGAGATGGCCTCGCTAAGTGCCCGGCTCACAATCGCGACAACTGTGTCGTATTCTCCTGCAAGGTGGTACAACAGAACCGAGTCTGTGGTGCGGCCGTTCTCATCAGCAAAGCTGGCTGCCTGCAACGTCACCGTGTTGACAAAGTCATCCTCCACATCGAGGCCGATCAAAGGTCCTCTCTCTTCAATGATACCCTTGATGCGGCGTCCGTCGGGTCGGATATCACCAATCAATTGGCTGAACTCGCGTGTCTCCAAGACCAAATCTCTCAGAGCCTCGTGACACAGGCTACCATGACGGCGACCTGCCTCGCCGCCAAGATCCTGGTTTAGGCAGATCAGGGTCAGGTAGTCCACGGCAGACTCGACATCCGCCGCTCGGAAGTCCCTGGTGTAGTACCCAATCATGCGACCAAAGTTGATCTGGGGGAGATTCTTGGTGCTGTAGCTTCGGAGGTCGTTGGACTCGAGCATGGCATCGCTGGGTCTGAGAAGACCGTAGAATTCGAGCGCGATACCAAAGTGAACTGCATCAATGTACGAAAAGGGGTACAGGTAGGCAAGGGCATCCTCGAAGAGACCCGCGAGGATCTGGAGATAGAAGAGCATACCGAAGCTGCCGTTGTTGTCCTCGGAGGGATTCTTTGGGAAATGCTTCTGGCCAATTTCCCGAATGCTGGCCTGCAGTTCCGCCAGCCCGTAGGACTCGCCCGCCATCTCGATGGTCTTGTCGCCCTCCCGCGCAAGGGTGAACTGGAGCCAGATCCAGTCATTGATGTCAGTGTTCAGACCCTCCAGGCTACGGTTGCTCAACTCAGCACGGCCAATAATCTGGTAGCAAGCCCTCCTGAAGGGGTCCAGCGTAGAGTCGAGCTTGATGCGCGAGTTGAGTTCGTTTCTGCAGCGATCAAGCAGCTTCTTGCTCGTGATGCGCCTGTCGTCACTCGCCGCATAGTTGTTCATGTATGTCGAGAATGTCCTATCGGTGCTCTTGAACGCACCTCCGTTGTCGTTGATGTATCGGGCTGCCTCCTCTACCTGCCCACACCTCAGCAGGTAAAAGACGACCGCCCAGATTGGCTCACCGCCGACGACGATGAGAGAACTGTCATCTGGCACCAAGTCCTTTCGGGCGGACCTCAGACGGATGTATGCCCTGATCTTGCTCTGTATATCGGGAAGACCTCCAAGTTTGGCCTCATGGGGGTGCTTTGCGATGAGCGCTTCAACCTCGCGAAGGAACTGAATCTCAAGGAAGCGTGATGAGCCCTCGAGGATGCGCTTTCTCATCGCCAGGGACTGGGGCGAGTTGGGATTGTCGTTCAAGTAAATATCCGCATACTCTCGCTCTTTGGCCGTCTCGTTGTTGAGGGTGGTCTCAGCATCACGGTTCTCGCCAACAATTTCAGACAGGGCCAGGTAGGCCTCGTGCACGTGCACAGCATGAGGCTCAACCGACTTCCTCTCAACCTCAGCCAACTCCGAGATGATTGGGTAAGGTCTCTTCATGATGCGGCTGGCGTTGAGGTTGCGGACCTTCTCGGCAAGCCTGGCCTGTCTCTCACGCTGGACCTTGTCGTCGATGGGTCGTCCAGGTCCCTTAGACTTGTCGCTTGAAGACCTCTCGACATCAGAGAACTCGGATTGGTGAGGGCCGATGCGGGTGGGAGCACCAATGACAGACCGCCCCAGGGACTTGCCCAGCATGGTGCTCCTGCCAGCCTTGGACATGCCAGCCTGCGACTTGCTTCTGCGCGATCGGCCAAACGCACCCTGGGACTCCCGCGCGCCCGGAGGAGCCTCTTCGCGGGGCTTGATGCCAAAGTGTTCGTAGATTCGCTTTCGCTGCGCGTCCCACTCCATCGTGACGTTGTCCTCGAGGAAGTTGTCAAAGTCTCGCACGGAGCGCTCCAGCCCGTCCGCAATCATGCTCAGTGTCGTCTTCGTCTGCAGGTTCGAGAGGTACGTCTCGACGTCAACCTCGCTTGGCGCGTAGCCGGCGTGGGTTGCACGATCAGCTCGCCCGCCTTGGACGTCCAGGAGTCCGAGGTCCTTTGCCGCCGCTCCAGGGTCGACACCAGAGGCGGCGAGGAGGTAATGGGCCTTGCCATCCAGGGGTCTGTCGCTGGGCTTGGACTGCAGCTTCCGCAGACGGTGACGCAGGTCGCCCAGGCCCAGCTCCAGGCTTGGGAGGTCTCCCATGTTCGACTTTGCCTCTCCACCCTTCTGGCTCTTTGCTAGGAGACTATCAAAGTAAGCGCCGGCGGGCTGGTTCTGTGTCGCGGACTGTGTCTGGGCCAGGCCACCGGGAGCTTGGCTAGCCAGGAGACTCGTGCCAAGTAACGGCTGGTTGACTTGCTGAGGTTGCTGGATCGCAGGAGTGGCGGTAGAGAAGAGGGTCGAGCCAGAGAGATTCGTCGAGGCACCGCCAAACAGCGATGGCTTCTGGGGCTGCTGTTGGTTCTGGGCCGCCGCCGCGAACAGCCCGCCTCCAGTGGTATTTTGTTGTTGTTGGGGAGCTGCAAGGTTGCCTCCGAACAGAGAGGAGCCCATTGTTCCCGTTTGTTGTTGTTGCTGTTGTGGCTGGTTCTGCTGCGCAGCCTGTCCAAAGAGCCCGGTGCCCGTCCCAGCAGCCGGTTGATTCTGAGTTTGGGTCTGCTGAGTCTGTCCGAACAAGCTGCCTCCTGCTGCCGGCTTCTGACCAAAGAGACTGCTGCCTCCTGTTGCTCCTGCCGTGCTCTGACCAAAAAGGCTGCTGCCTCCCGTGCCAGTTGCTGGCTGCCCGAAGAGCGACATGGCTGCGGTGTCGAAGCTCAAGGTCAGAGGCTCAAAACCAGGTTATTCGATGGATACGCGATGGATAGGCCGATTGATGGCCGGGAATTCGTTGGGGCTAAATTGTCGTTGGCATTCGTCGGATTCGTGGTTGGAAGCGGCGCGTCTCCAGATGGTGTTTGGCTGCTGTAGGTGTAGGTCAGCTATAAATTTTTGGGAAAACATGGAACTGGGGGCCAGGAGAGCTTGGACCAATCACAGGCGCCGCGCAAGGATCAACCACTCCCTAGCAAACACCTTTGTCTAAAGCAACATGAATAACATCTGGAATTTACTGCTTAAATTAAAAAAGTGATCTTTAATTAGGTAGGTATTCATATTCGGTTGTTTGACATATTCTTATCAGTTTGTTTAATATATTCTTATCATTTTATGTCCAGTCATTACCATTATTCGCTATCATATTCCATCCCGCCCAGCCATGTATGTACTTTGTAAATCAGAACCCCAGCCACGACAACATCAATAGTCGTTCCCTATCCCTTTGTTTTCATTTCTACGTAGCAGCCCAAATTGCAAACTATTCTCTACTCGACACTAGTCGCTGCCGAACTCGCCCACCCACTTCTCAACAGCCTTGTCGACCTTCTTCCGGTAGGCCTGCTGCTGGCTGCAGAGCTCCAGGTAGATCTCGTACTTGGCGTCGAGGAGCGCCTTCTCGCCCTCGTCCGTGCCGGGCTCGACCAGCCGGCCGGGCTTGCTCATGCGGTCCATGATGCTCCAGAGCGACTCGGGCTCGGAGCTGCTGTTGTGGCTGGCGGCCTTGGCGCCCAGCATCGCCGCGCCGTGGACGACGGCTGCGTTGACGTACCGTGGGATGAGGACCGGCATGCCGCAGATGGTCGCCATGAGGTACATGAGGATGGGGTTCTGGCACTGGGAGCCAGACATGAAGATGGAGGTGATGGCGTGGCCGGCATTGTTCATCTGCTCGATGATTTGGCGCGTCTGGAAGGCGATGAACTCCATGGTGGCGTAGTACCACATGGCCATGTTGTCGGTGCTCTTGTCGCTGTCGAGGCCGATCATGGAACCTCTCATGTTGGGGTCGGCAATGGGGGATCGGTTACCCCAGAAGTCGCCGTAGAAGAAGTAGTGGCGAGCAAGATAGGAGACAGCCGGGGCGTTGGCCTTCTCAGTCAGGAAATTAAGGTGAGCATTGAGGAAGTCGTAGATATGCTTGTCCTCCGCCTTGGCGAGGGCCAGAGTCTCGTTGTAAGCTGGGTGAACATCGAGGACATGGCGGAGCAGTTCGCCGGTGGCTGACTGTCCGCCCTCAGCGAGCCAGAACTCGGGGAGAACGACGTCTCGGTAAGGGCCCCAAACGCCAGGAACGAAGACGGGATTCTTGGACATGGCCAAGTGGCAGGTGGAAGTACCCGCAACGGCGGCCAGGCGGCTGAAAGCCTGGACAACATCATTGTGCGGAGCATTGGCGTTGAGCTCGTCGTCACCAAGGTCGACCTTGGCGCCCACGGTGCCGATCCAGCCAGCATAGGCATCAATGACACCGCTCCCAACGGGAACGCCTTGGGGCAGACCAAGCTGCAGCGCGGCCTCGCGGCTTAGACCGCCGATGTATTCACCGGCACTGGCATAGGTGCCATTCTGGGGATTGCCAAGTTAGCGATTAATTGCCCATTTAGGTATTAAAGTCAGCTTCTGCCCATTGCCCCACTTGGAGCTCGACGGACGGTATTATACTTTGCTGCTCCCTGCATCGCCTTTGCATGGTGGTAATATGCGGGGAAGCCAACAAAGGAGGGGAGAGGATGCAACCAATCGATCATGCCTCGACATTGGCCAAAAACGGCAATAAACAGCGCCGTCGATCAAAGGGAAAAAAAAGGCACATTGTTGAGCTCAACAGAGCGGGGAAAAAGGGAGAAGGAGAGAGGAGGAAGCTTACCACTCCGTGAACGCCACCCATCCGCTTAAAGTCATCCTTGGCAAGATCGCCCAGGCCGATGGTCTCGAAGAAATCCTGCTGCCAGCCCTTCTCGCTTCCGTCGACACCCACAGGGACGTACCCCTGCTTGCAGACGGTGCTGCAGAAGCTCCGGGTCTCGTTCCCAGTGGCCAGGTGGGTGAGGGCATCGGTCAGGTCGTAGAACTTGCAGCGGTCGAACAGCTCGGGGGGCATGTTGTTCTTGAGCCACAGGGCCTTGGGGATCTCCATCTCGATGCTCATCTGGCCGCCCACATACTTGAGCAGCTTTTGCTTTGTGCTGTTGATCTTCTCCGTCTCCTGGACGGGGCGGTGGTCGAGCCAGAGGATGACATTGCGATCGCTGCCATCGTTCTTGAAGTCTGGACCGGTGACCGGGATGGGCTCATCTGTGTCAGTGGAGAAAACTGCCAGGGAGCAGGTGGCGTCGAAGCCAATGCCCTTGATCGATTGGGGGTCGACCGCAGACTCGGTCACCACGCGGCGAACACACTCGCAGATGCGTTGCCAGATATCAGTAGTCGATTGTTCCTATGAACATGTCAGCATACCAAGATTCGCAGACGAGGTAGGAACCCTGCCGTACGTAGTAGCCTGTCTCGGGCTGCCATAGCTTGATGTTCTCTGTCGCCAAAGCTTTGATATCACCAGTCTGGTCAATTATACAAGCACGGGCCGAGCCCGTGCCAACGTCCACACCAATGTAATAGTCCTGTATGCAACCCAAAAATTAGTATTGCGTCTCTACCAAGTATGTTGGGCAGGGGACGGGAGCTTCAGGTCCACGCCGTAGCTAAACTCTAGCTAGTTGGACTCATTGTATGTATGTCCTGAAGCGATGATGGCCCGCGTTGGGGAGAAGAGAGTTCCATACCAGAACGTTTGCCGGCCTATCCATTTTGGACAACTGGTAAGCGAAAGGCCCAGAGAGAGCAGAGGAGGGGTCGTAGGCTTGGTGTGGGGGGACGCTGGAATTAAATTCTATCTATGTGGTGATAGTAGCTTGGGGAAGGCTGAAGTAAATCAAAAGTCTAAGCTTGGGGAGTAGCGAAAAGGGCGGTTTGAGCAGGTGTGGTGAGGATGAAGAAGAGAAGAAGAGCCAGAGGGAGGACTCACAGCATGGGCTTGATGGGTTTGTTATAGTCGTACATGCTGGGCAATTGAGGGGGAAGTAATCAGAATCTTCAGCCCCGTCGTACCGTACAAGAAGGTAGGATCCCGAATTAAGCACCGTTGGAAGATGCTACCATCGGACAATAAGACAAGAGGAAAGGTTAAAGGGCGCTGGGGGGGGGCGCTGAGTCTCCGGCCGGATGCGTGAAGGCTGCACCACGGGACGGTCTAGGCCATGGAACGTGTGCATCTGGACTTGAGCACCGCAGATGAGTGTGCCCGTCCCAAGGCCAGGAGCCGGCCACGGATTGATGCCATCCACTGCCATCCCACCCATCGGAGGTCGGACCCTGGTGCTCTTTCGAGGGCCTCATGCACTCCACTTACTACAGGTGGCATGTTGCAGGGGAGAGGCCCTGTGGATGTGGATACAGCGCGTGCTGATCTCGTCGCCTTCGAGATGGGGCAATTCAGGAACGCAGACGCAGCCCAGGCCTCGTGACCATCTATTTTTTTCGGCCTCGCCTGTTTTTCGGATTTTCCTTTGACAGCCAGCAGCCTCTCCAATTGCCTCAGTCGAGCCATAGAGCAGATGCCCAGGACGCAGTGAACATGTTCTGTCTCCCCCACGCTCGCCTCGAGGCCATGATAGCACCAGACGTCGTAGCGGCTCCTAGCTAAACCATCTAGGAGCCTCTAGGGCACAGTAGTCGCTGGCAGCACCACCGTATGGCGCGGGGGGAGGGGCGGCGCAGCGGGCCCGGTGAACCTAGTTTGCCATACCCGGACCCAGGGGCTTCGACCGTAACTGCGGTAAGAAGACTGGTCCTATCATCCCTTCTCCGGATGCCAGATTCGCGGAGACGGTCACCGTTTGATGCAAAGAACGGTCGTGCTTCGCCCTTGGAGAAGCCCGCCCCCACCCCCACCGTATCACGCAAAACCTAGTCTGGAACTGGGGGATATTCGGGTGGCCCGGTTGCGGCCAAATCGCCGAGCTACTTGAGCTGTCGGCAGAGGGAGACCCAACGGAAACATCCAAGAAAGAAAGGGGGAGGAAAAATTCAGATGCTCAGATGACCACTCCCACGCCATGGGGGATGCATCGCGATCAGCCGGTCCCACTCGCTCGATACACCTACTCCCATATCTCGGGACACCTCTTTGGGCCATATCTTGCCCCTATCGTGAAGCAAACCACATACCCACCCATTATAATGTGCTGGCACGTTTTTTCGTGGGGGGTGAGTATCTACACTCACAGGTAAGGCGAGCCCTCTCCGATTGGGCACTTTCTTATCCAGCAACCTATCCCGGACATGCACCCTTCGCTTGAATGCATGTTGTGCTCGAGTGGCAATTAGGCAACGATAATCGCCATCGGAGCTATAGCTCCCACCCAAGCAAACCCAAGAAATTCCGATCTTCTAGAAGCAAGCCTCCCACCTCCTCTCCTTTCCGGCCATTGTGTTCGCCGACTTTTCCGGTTGGGTTAGGGACTATCAAGCAATCCCAACCATCGTCTGCAATTAACAATCATGACCAAGGCGTCTAGCTAGACCGGTGATAACGAGGAAAGAAGGCCAGTGAGACTAACGAATAATTTCTACCACTCCCAAAGCTACCAATTGAAATTGGGAAGACCCTATCAAGCCTGTATCACATATACTTCGGCTTGTGGTCCACCCCGCGTATCTATTTCTCTAACTAGTAATTGACTTGTCAACCCCTCCTCCACATGAGGAATCATCCTTGTACTGGGACTAACCGACGAATCGCCCCTCTTCCTATTTCCGCGCCGCCTCTTGTGTTAGTCTGATCGAATCATTATCGTCGTGCATCCGTAGATCCTTTCGTAAAATCATTCATAAGTCGTCCTCAGCCTCTTGGCCCTGGATGAGTATCACAACATTCAGGGTGGCTGCATACGCTTCTCTCACAGCACAAGCCAGGCTAGCATTCAGTCAGCATATTCCACGTTCCACATTCGACGGTTTCGAGAAAAGTCTTCTCGAGCCCCCAGTCTCAGATGCATCGACGGAAGAGACGGAAGAGAGAGAGAAAGAACGCAAGTCACTTACCATGTTCTGCGGAGATCGGCAACTATGGCGCTCAGCCCCCAATGGGCACACCACGCTCGTGCCAGCACCTCATTATCCCTGACTCCAAAGCACTCCGCCACTAGCACCCGCTCCTCGTCGTTGGCGTCCCCGGATGTGCCGTTAGTCCCCTGTTGGTTGTTTGTTCCATATAATCCCCCCCAGTCCTTGATCGAAACAATCTCGTCCACTCGTTTCCTCTGATAGACATAGTCAAAGAATAATGCGTGCGGCCCATCGGAGCACGGAAACGATGAGATGAAATTCACGTCGTACATGAGCCGCAGTGGCCAGGACAATCCATCAATGGCAAACTGGACCGTCGCGTCAAATTTCCTCGTCTCTGGGTTTTTCTCAGTCGTCTTGACAGTAGTAACGGCAGCACGCAACCCCAGCATCTCAACCCTTACAGTGTCGACCACAGCATCCGTCTTTGGGATATCAAGCACGTAGTCTGCGGCTGGGTAGGAATCCGCGGGTGGCCCCAGAGGCTCCGAGCGTTCGGCCATTGAGTCAACATCCTCCAGCCGCAGCTTCTGCTTTGGCTGCCTGGTCCGGATCCGGGCAATCTGGGAAGGACTCAGGTCTGTCGTCGTCCGCGCCGGCCCCACCCAGCCTGCCAGTGAGTTGCATGTCGGGGCCAGGACTTTGCCCACGATAGAGCAAGCAGTCCAATACGTGTAGCTGCTTCGGTACTGGAACCCACACTCCGGATGCATGTGCCTAAGTAGTGCTAGCTCATCGGTAGCTGGGTCGGGATCTAGATCAAGCAGTGTGTTCATTATTAGAAACGGGAATGTGATCTAAACGTTCAGATAATTTTGTTAGCCTAACGGTTTTCTAATACGTGCAAAATAAGCTGTTGTGGGAATCACTCACCCCTGGCAAAACAAGCCCGCTGAAAAAGGCAAACGCATCGGAACTGATCTTATCCAAAGCGAAGTCCGCATCTTTCTGTCTTAGCTGCTCCATGGTGTCGGCCAAGTTTGGCCATTTCATCGTCTGTGCGAATCGCCTCAAGAGCCTGACCTGCCGCTTCTTCAATTTGTATCGAAGTTTGACTAAATCGCTGAATGTTAGTCTAAGATGATGGTTCTGGTTCTTATAGGGCCACTCACTCTGATGGGGGAATTTTCCAAAATCTTCCACACGAACATATAACCTCCACCGCCGAGCCAAAGCCAGCGTCCATTTGATGGACTGGGGGATCGTTTCCAGAAGCTTTTCCTTGGCCCAGCCACCATGCTGCGGCGACTGTATCCTCATCTCGAGCTCTAGGGCCAGCAATAGCTGGTGGAAGAATTTCTGGAACTGAATCTCGAAATTGTCCTGCCCATTGTCGAAAATGAATCTCGTCACCACTTGGTTCTTGGGATTGCTAAAGTCAAACCAGCTCGGCCGTGAAAGGGCCATGATCAGATCCGTAATTTGCTTGTCCAATGTTTTGTGAGGGGCCAATAGTCTGTCCGGATCACGAAGAAGGCGCCTATAAAGGATCTTATACATAAGACCCGGGTCGTCTTCCTCGAGCCCCGCTTGAAGCTCCTGAATTCGGTCGAGGATGCGTTCCAGTGACATGGGCCGAGGCATAACTCCCGCATCCTTCAGTCTAATTGACGGAGGATATACACTCGCCGTAGAAACCCACCGGTTCAGTGTAATCGAACCCTCGTGTTCACCGTAGTGAAAACCATAACTCGGCTGCTCGAGACTCTCCCAAGGGTTCGCGGCAGCGTCCGTGGACTGAAGCTTGATCGTCATCAAGTGCACCATGGCATCGTGTAAATCAATGGCATCCGTCCCCTTGGCTCGATTCTCCGTTGTCGTGGCATACAAGGCAAAGTAGTCCTCCGAAGCGTGAGGAACCTGCCGTTTGCAGCCTTGATACAACGGCACTCCACGGCATATCAACTGTGTGGCTTCCTGGCTTGTTAGTTCTTGATTTGGCCGTATCCCGCTGGGTGGCCATTGCGTCAAAGGCTCCGGCGACGGGCTTCTGTGGCTGCTGCTGCTGCTGCTACTACTAGAGTCAAGAGACAGCTTCCCCTTGCTGTTATTCGCCTTTGAAAATTCCGGCTCAGTCTCCCAATCTTGGTCCAGCGATGGCTCAGGCGCGGGGTCTGACCTCACCCGCATTCGCTGCTTGGGTATATGGGTATCTGAGCCCGATACGGAGCGCCTTCTCTCTCTCCTAATTCCCAAGTCTCCAAGACTCACCCTCCTAGCTTCTGTCTGAGAACAGACGAGCTGTATCAGCGCCAAATTCACAGCTGCAGCAGAGAAAGGGAAGAAATGGGAAGATAAGAGAATATACACACCTTCTTCGCTGCCGCCCGGACGTGACTGGCCCTGCGCAACAGGCCGCGCAGGAAGCTTCTCTTCTGCGGTTGCTCCATGACTTTATGCCGGGCGCAGATTCGGGTCAATTACGTTATTGGGAGCTATGCAGTGTCACCAAGAGAGCAGCACGCGTTCACAAGGGTATCCGTTCCGCTGGGTGTCTTGCAGCATCTTCCAACAAGTTGACGCGCGTATTTGAGTGGCGGTGAATTGAGCTCAAAAGAAAAGTGAGAGCCGAATTGTCCTGCGGTTGCTGCGATTGAATCCTCCGATTGCATCCAGGAGGCAGGCAGAAAAACAAAAGGCAGGCAACACGTGGTGGGGGGACGAAGACAAGATGCAATGCAGATGTAGCCCACGCGTGTCTCACTGCAATGCCGCCGACGGCGGATGTCCCTTGCAGGAGACTCGGCGAACGGGTAAGGATGGGCCTCGGAAATCAATGAGGCTTCAGGAAGAGGGCTGGCGCATTGCGCTGTGACGTGACGACGTGCAAAGGCCGTGTTGGAGGGAGGATCCCTCAATGCACCAGCAGGATCTCAAATGTCTCTTTCCCAAGAAGAAGGTGTCGGGCTCACGCGCCGCAACAACACGCTGACCTGAGTAGGCTGGTCGGCAGTGGAGGACTCGACAGGACTCGACAGGCCACTGAGTGGAGGTTATTTCGAGCCCTGCTGCCGCCCTGGGAGATACCTGGACAAGCTGGCCACCGCCCTGGCTAGTGCTGTGAACTAGGGCCCGGCCGCTGTGGTGGAGTGGATGGGTGCCAATCAGGCTCAGACGACATCTGCCAGCCTGACTGGATATTACTGATGGCTGAAACCGCATCACGCCGCAGAGGGGGGACCTGGTGCCATTTACATGTGTCTATTGGGGGGCTGGGAGCTCAAAGGACGCCGCCCCAGTTGCTGTCTGCCCACACCGGGACCTTTCGATCTCGGGATGAGATACAAACATAATTATGTATTTCGAGCTCACCCAATGAGGCTACTAGCCTCTCCACTGCTCACATTAGCCTGCGAGAGACAGCCAGTTGCAGACGCTGATATTATGCAAAAGAAGCGTTACCCCTGTTCCAAGAACCAACCACGACCTGGGGCATGAAGACGTAGCTCAATAACATATGTGCTGTTGCTTCCTTGGCAAAATAAGACCGAGTCAACCTCCTGCAAGGGCCGTCGTCTAGTTTCACTTATCCGTACTACAATGACAGCAAAAAACTGCACAAAATCCCCAAAGTATATCACAGTTCAAAAACCGAAGTATAGCAGACGTCAAAGCAACATACTAAGTGGTCCTTAACTGAACTAATAACAGAAAAAAAGCACAAAATAGAAAATTGTACCAAACCCCAGCCTCTTAGACAGTTGTAGTGGGCACATGCCCCAAAGTACGGTAAAAAAAAATTATGTCAAATATATGACATAAAACACGCAGCTTGGTATGTACATTATGAACCTACAGCTGTTGCACAAATATTAATAAACAATCATCTTGCTATTTGCCATGTAATTCAGTGCTTATTGTGTTGCGAGAGCACATAAAAAACTAACATTGTACATACAGAACTGCTCCAGACAAGTTGATCAATCCTTAGCACTCAGAGACACGGGAATCCTCAGCCAGACTACCCAAAACTCATCTCCTTGATAATCATACCATAGGTTGCATTACTAGTCCAAATTCCATGCTAAAGCTACTTGCCTCATTTTCTCCTTGCTCGCTTGTGTCTGCAGGTCACAACATTTGCGGTCAGAGGAGCTCGTCGACGATGGCGCTCGTTTGATTCGTATGGCCACCGTGGGAGCGGTCAAACGCTTTCTGATACTGTTATGTGAAGGGAAACAATTAGCTCATGTTTCTTACATTCAGCTCAAGTCGAGATAGCTTACCGCAAAGAAGAAATTAATAATCAGAGCGACCATAAGTGCGACACTTATGACAATAGGGCCAACCATGTTGTCAAAATCTTTACCGCTACGCTCCATGATCATAATTCGGCGGCTGTGTAGCATCCAGTAGCCCCAGGCTCCGGCAAAGGCAGCAATCAGAATATAGACGACGCCCATGACTTCAGCAACCAAATCTTCACCTGCGGCCGTGTACAGAGCCAGGGCCACAGTGCCCTGAAGAATACAGATATGTTGCCACTTGAGAAAGGTTCGCTCGTTCGCCAACCAGACCTTGGGCTCAATCTTGAGCTCTCCGGCATTCTTGATCCATTCCGAAGGCTCAACGACTCCTTCGGGGAGCTGAGCCTCGCGAAGTCTTTGAGACTTGGCATACTTGGACAGAGAGAAGCTGGGAACAACAGACGACAAGGTTCCATAGCCTTGCTGCTGATTGCTGAAGCTTGACTCGCCGACTTCGTCAATGGTTGGCTGGAAGCTGCTTCTCTTGCTCTTGGCAACGGATTGCACAGACTGCATAGATTGGCGCTTATCAGCCGCCGCCCGTTCAGCAAGATACGACTTTGCGATAGGAGAGCTCTTTCCGGCCTTGTACGATCCTGACTTGCCCCCCATCAGACTGCCAACAGCCATAGCATCGTCCGCTCGCTGAGCACGGCGCTGCTCCTCCTCTTCGAAAGTCTTCTCGGGGTCCTTGCGGATATCGGTTTCCAAGTCGCCCAGCCAGAAAGGCAGAGTGTTGACGTAATCCTCAAAGAGGGAGGCCACACCGTGGACAAACTTGGAAAATCGTGGAACGGGGTGGACCAGGTGGGATGACACAAGGTCATCGATCCAGACAGGCTGTTTCTTGAAGCCATTGTCCTTGAGCTTGATCTCAAGCACAGCATAAGGAAATTTGTTAACTTCGCTCTGGTTGATATTCTTGAACGGGTAGCCCATGTTGCTGTCATCGATATCGGTGCGGTGCCAGTCGTCGGGGTTGCGACAAGGGCGGTCCCTATCAAGCGTATCCTCACGAATGGAAGCAAGGTCGGTGTCAAGGGAAATTCGAATACGATCATCCGCAGGCCTCTGGAAGGCTGTTCGGACGTAATTGGCCCTCAGCACAGGTGAGAGCTTCTTCTCTTGCAAGAAACCTTGCATCTTACCAACGGTTGCCTTGAAGTCCTCGATCTCGCTCTCTGGGACGCCTTGGCGTTCCATCTTCTGTACGGTTTTCTCCATCTGATACTCGCCATCGAGGAAGGGCTTCACCCATTTCGCCTTGATGGAGAATTTGGACTCTTCACTAGTGCCATTGGCATTGATCTTCTTCAGCTCCATGTAGATCTCTGGCCGTTGGCTCAATTGACCATACCAACGAAGGCGAAGGGATGCCGGCTCAGACTGCCGATCTACCTTTTCCTTATACAGCTCGAAATCCTGGTTATCGAAATATAGAGATGTCGTCGCGGGAGATTCATTGGAATCGAGCTCCCTGGAGGCCTGCTCACTGTAGATGAGAGCTGGGAGATGTCTAAGAATCGAGGCCTTGACCTCGAGCAGGTTATCAGGGTGCACCCAGACTAGCAGGAAAGATTTTGTTAGCAAAATCGAAGGGTAGATACACCCAAGCAGGCGATAAATTGGGTCATACTAACACTTTTGCGCAGTATACCTCTCTCCATTGTGTGTCTCGCCTTGGGTGTCCAGACCCTTGGGAATGGGCTCGTCCTCCTCAAGCTGCTGGCGGATAGCAAAGTACATGAGAGACATCTTGTTCAGAAGAGACTCGTATCCCTGCTCAGAGTTGAAGGGCCGCTGAGAAAGGCTCAGCTGCATCATGGGTCGGACCCTGTACCTGTCACCCCTCTTGCGATCGTGCTTCTTAATGATCTTGAGGAACCCGGTGTAGTTGACATTGCTGAACTTCTTGAGCTCCATGACCTCCTTGAGGATCTCATCAAGCTCGGACTCGAGGTCCTTGAGGCGGGAGGCAGAGATGCCGGCCGACGCAGCATTGTCGCCCGTTGCAGGAGCTAGCTCTTTGAGCTTGTCGAAGATGCCGTCCACTCGCTTCTTCAGGGCGTCAAACTTTTCCTGCTGGAACTGAGCAACCTTCTCCAGCTGGACGTTGAATATTTCATCGCAGAATCGGTTCTCGTCGTCTTCGGTCCATGGCTTGTTGTCCTTGTCGTGGCGGTCCTCGCGGAGCAAACCCTTGAGCTTGCTGTAGTCAATGTACTTCTCCTTCCACGGCGCATAAATCGACTGGCGGAGGGTGCTTCCGAAACGCATCGTGAATTGAATCTCCCAGCGATGGCAACGGTACAATTGAACAGCAGCCAAGCGAGGGGGAAGAGGAGAGAAAAGGCACGATTGGTGTTCAGGTCTCCCTTTCTGCCGCGTCTAGGTTGGATGAAATGGAAGAGGCCGGCGAGGCTGCGCCTGGGAGCAAAAACATTCGGCACTGTGATGCTAAGCTAAAAGTGGAAATCGGTATCGCCCAGATCAAAGCTAGACGCGACTAGCCGGGGCCTGCTTGCCTGACGTAGAATGACCGAGAGGCGTGCAATTCGTTGTATTAATACAGATAAGATGTCACTTGGATGCACCAATCGCAGTTGGAGGGTTTTCATTAACTTGCACCTGGGAATTGGCGCTTCACACTGGTATCGCATGCCTCAGACGCCAACACCAAAAGCTTGACCTGAGCCAGGCAGGACAGTGCAGCAAGGCACTATGTGCACTATGACGATGCATCATGTTAGTGCCCCGCCGGCTTGTCAAGGGCGACGGCCAACTCCACTTCACCGGCATCCAGAGCTCGAGTATGAACGGGTGGGTACCTTAGCTCCAATGGAATGATCCTATGAACGGCCAGACATTTGCACGTGCCTCAGAGCCTTCTTTGGATTGTGGAGGGACAAGAGGTCGAACAAGAGGGACATTGCTCTCAGCTCTAGACCTCGACCAGCTTGACAAAGCTAGCTTCGAGCGACAGGGTGACATTGAAACTGAGACACTCAAACAATAAGCTGCTTATTTCGAGTCTGCGACCAGTATTACCAGGTTATTGAGTGCCAATATACATACTAAGAGATAATCCAGTATGTATTGTTACCTTGTTACTCAATTCCGTTTTACTACTGGATTTGACATTC